TAATTTTAGTTACACTAATGTGTAACAAATACTTTCATATCACGGATTAATTTCATTCTTTCATCTTCAGTATATCTATAAATTGAATAACTAATACATGTAATAATTGAAGTTCGATTAAAATAATAAAATTAGTATGATAAAAAATGTGAAAAATGAGTAGTCCATTCCTCGAGCATCGTCATGGAAAAGTTTCAGATTATTTTAACGGCAACCCGAGGCGAGCCGAAATACCGAAAAACTTGACTTACCACATCGCCTGCACCGACACCGGCTTGAAGATGTGCTGCGAACCGCAAACGCTGACGCTGAAGCCTCTGCAACAGAAAACGAGGAAAAAACGAATAAGAAACGCGAGGCTCTGGGAAGAGAGAAGCGTGTACGAGGGTCACCACCGGGTTCACCTTATACAGGGTGGTCAGCCGATCGTATCGACGAGCTATTTTATTGCCGGCCGAAACTGGCCAACTTCCCCGTTCTTAGACGCGGCCTGCTATTTTCGAACACGCGCAGCTCGTCGCGTTTTCTAGCCCGGATCCTAACCCAGTTACCCGTACAGAATACGTACATATGTGTGTCGCTACTTTGGTTTGAACCCTTCGAAATTGGGAGCCAAGAACATTGTACAGGCTACATGCATTCTCTTCGCTCCTAAATTATCACTTCTGCTATTCCTTTCACAAAAACGAAAACATCTTAGAAGCAGGATTGCAGATCTTTTAATTGTAATGTATAATTGAAGTGTTCTTTAATTAAGAATTAAAATTCAATCGTTAATTAGAATTTCTTTTAATTAAACAATATAAATTTTTCGTTAATCAAATTTAAATTAAAAATTAAACGTTGGTGTTCAATGGAATTAAATATTCAATTGCTTATTTGCAACCCTGCTTGAAATCTCTAAAGCAAGTTATTAAGAAAATAATTGGAGTATTCTTTAATTATGAATAAAAATTCAATCATGAATTCGAATTTCTTCTAATTAAATAATTGTAATTCTCAATTAATCTAAATTAAAAATTAAAGTTTGCTGTTTAATTGAATTAGATGTTTATCTTTAACCCTGTAGAAAATAATTAAGAAAATCTTAACCTGAAGTGGATTTAATTTATGTAAGAATATTATCTCTCAACAGAATTTCTCGTCTGAGTAAAAGTGAAATGGAAACCGAACTGAGAGTATAAGAATAAGCCAAAGGTGTGGTAACGCAAACAAAGAGCGGACAACATTTTCGAGTGAAAGGGTTTCTAAAGTTAGCTGTTAAGTCCCGACGTAAGTATCCTAATGCGGCGTACAATTTGCTCGTAACGTAGGAGGAATGCTTATGAAAGATTAACAAAGAGTCAAATATAATTCTGAGGTCACGTATCATGGCCTGAAATGAGCGTAGCGTTACTTGCCGCGTAAGGGAACGGATCTTTCCTGCGCAAAAGTTCATTTCATGCGCATAACTCTCATGACACAGCAAATATTCCACAAAAAGATGGTGTTTATGATAAAGAATTTGTCATAGCTTGCAATTTACATGAAACCATAACAGAGGAATGATTACAAGAACAAACTTGTTTGTAAAAGTAGATACATGTAATGCATGTAATACTTAACTGCATGTTTTAAATACTTATATTTATAACTATTATTGACTTGCAATTAGTAAAATAACGTAACGAAACTGAATTCTTCTTAGAAACTATAAGTGAACGTTTCCTTGCTCCTGAATTGAACTTAAGGGAACGGCAGATAAAAACGTTTCACGCACTGCAATCCGATAAATAAAAGATACGTTAACGTAAATTACATAACATTTCTCCTTAACTCTTTTTGCGTAAGAACAATTTTTCCACGAAACACCTACTTGCTTCGAATCACCATCCGTGCAATTACGGTTAAGAAATACACTCGGGTAAAAGTATTACCCTCGGCGAGAGAAGAAAAACACCAGATAATACACATGATCCATCAAACTGAATGGCACTTGTCACTTGTTTCAACCGAACAACGTACTTCCTTCTCCCCTTTCCCACTTAGTATTCTCGATAATTACTTTTCGTGTTACATAAAGTTTAGAAATGCACAAGAGTCTTTTTAATAAAAATGGCTAAATAAAATGCAAAATTGAAAACCTTCTCCTATTAGAATTATTTAAAAGAATTGTACAGTTAAGGTCGTATGAGCCGTAAGATCTCTGCCAAAAGTTTAAGACCTGTANCTCAATTCGTTTTTGACAGATGCTACTTACTGCTCATTGACTTACTACAAGTTATTTAAAATTGCGGGAATTAAATTCCTCATCAAATGCTTTATCCTTAAAAGGAACGGAGGAAATTTGCTGAGTCACAATTACAAAAAGAGCAAAGGAAGAGTAATGGCTCTGAGGATGGATAATAAAAAATAAAAGGGCAAGAGAGTCACGGAAGGGATCGTAAAAATCGTGGGCAACGTAAGAACGCGAGTCGGCCAGTAAGTATGTAACTTACATACTTGCGCTTATTTTCTTGTTGCCATCGCTCCTTTTCTGTCGTACACTCGCCTCCTCCTTGCCGCTAATTTGCCGCGAATTGCCCGCGTGATTCACAGTCTCAAACCGTTTAGATGCGTTCCTGCGTAGGCGATCCGACCGTAACATACTTCGGTAAAAAGAGAAAAAGGCGGCTGGCAAACGAGAAGAAATTTGTCATCGTACAGGCTTCTGTCCCGACGCGTTAAAGTACGACTAAATTCCTGACTCGGAACACTTTGATTGTTCGCATTTGAATTCACTGATTCAATTCATTGTCTTCAAACGATTGATAAAAATCAGTGGCAGAAGTAAGTGAAGGATCAACAAGTTAGAAACTGCAGTCTCAACTACTGCTTCGTCAAATTGTCTCACCAAATGCAATAAGCAAAAAAAGTAATTAACATGACTGTATAATCTCTTGGAAGAAAAGATATTAAAAAGTTTATTAACGAAAATGTACACTATAGTAAATGTCTCAATTTTTGCTAAACGAAGCTCAGACTGACAAAACAATGCTAATGTCGATGATGGCAACGGAGCACGACCTTCGACGGTGACCTTGGTGCTCACCTGTCAAGCACCTTGCTGCTCTAACGCGGCTTACGGTAACGCGCTCCATTTCCCTACGGCCCGTGCATACGGAGCAAAAGAGAACGTTGCTGACCTTCGCGTTCACCTTTCCACGAGGCGGTAGCCAGGGTGGCGCGCGCGCGCACGCACACGCTGTGTATACGCGTTCTGCGTTCGTTTCTCGATCCGCGGACTCGATGTACCGTTTCGGAGGTTGCCGCGCTGCTTCGTTCGCCTAATTGCCCCGTGGAGCTCGCGTACGGCCGCGTGCCACGCTAATGACTCACTGCCGAAGAAAGGAACCGGACGTGCACGCGCACGAACCCCGCGAGAGACCGGTTAGAAAGTGGCCGGCTGGACTCGCCGATACGTACCTTTTATTGCTAGATTTTAGCAAGATCGAAAATCTCTGTTACGCATGGCGGAACAGCCTTAATTGCGGATTGGGACCCAAGCGATTTGTCTAACGGCTTTTTATTCGACGCGGAATAGAAGGCTATCGAACGGAGAAAGTGCGGGGTCCGTTTGGAAAAATTTTGATTAACCTGTTCAACCCGGCTCACTTTCCCTTGTGTCTCGACTAATCCTGAGATCCAACCCTCCCTAATAATAAAACTCCGGTATATCTTAATGTAAAAACAAAACTAGATGAAATGAAATTGGACATTTTAGTGAATTTTGAAAATTATGTCTGTGTTAACTCCATTTTTTTTAATGAAACTTGTTTTAAATTGAAAAGGAACAGATCACACTTTATTAAAACCTCATAAGACTGACGAATATTGTAAAAGATATATCTTCTATAACATTATAA